TGTCTACTCCCACCACCCCCTCTCCCATGGCAGACAACACTGGGATGCTCAGAGCAGGTGGGGCTAAGGTACTTGGCAAGGGTAACTGGACTTGCCTCTCAGGGCCAGGCTGTCCAGATGATGGCCAGCCTTCAACCCTGTGACCAGTGCTGAGCTTCTGCAATGCCAGTGTCCATCACCAATGAGGTCAGCTGCTTCCTAAGCAGCCAAGCCCCTCCTCCTGGAGGTGATGGGGTAGGGGTAGGTGTGGGGGGCCTGCAGAGTAACAGACACAGACCTGGCCAAGGCCTTAACCAGTCCCGGGCACTCCTGTGGCTTCCCATTGCCCACTGGAAGAAGCCCACACTCTCTGGCCAGGCCCGTCCACAACTGCCTAGTAACCTCTTCAGCCTTGTCTCCCTTGGAGCACCTGTCACCCACTCCACTCCGGACACCCTCCAGCAGGCATGTACCGCCTGCGGGAAGCCCTCCCCGATAGCCTGTCCTAGAAGGCCCACCCTCTGCCCTGAAGCAGGGCCCGGGTGACTTGGCCTCTGTCAGGCTGGGTGCTCCTAGAGCCGAGCCCCAGGCCCCCCGGCTCAGCAGAGGTGGCCGGTGACTGTCACCAGGCCTGCCCCTTCTTCCTCTGGGCCTCTAACCTCAGGAAGTCTGCAAACAAGGAAGGAGTCTAGACCAGATCAGAAATGGCAAACACAGAGACTTGCATGGACAGGCCCATGTTGGTCCGCATCACCAGCAGGGCCTGCTGAGTCTAACACAGCTTAGAGTCTGTTTCCTCCACAGCGTTCCGGGCAGTGCCCCTAAGCACAGATGCTGGGATGGAAAGTAATGGCCATTTTTGAAGGATGGTGGTCCTCCCTGCACTTACTCCTCTCTCCTCTCCTCTCCCTCTAGCCCACGGCAACCACGCATCTGCATTTGGAAAGGTTGACTGGCATGGAAGAACAGGAGCCAGGGAGCCTGGGCATGGCCTCCGACTCTAGCCCTCAGTTGGATGATGCCGGGCAGGTTGTCCACCTTTATGATCGGCCAGGCCTCCTCTGCAGAAACACTGGGAGCCAAACAAGCGAGGTTGCACGTTCAGAAATTCAGAAACCCTACGTTAACTGGAAGCAATTAACGGAATTCTGAAACACGAACCAAAACACCCTGTACCCAATGCTCTCCATGACCTCTGCTCTCCTGCAGTTCCCCAGTTCTGAAACTGGAAGGCCTCATTGGATGATACCCCCTTAAGCCCACCATAGGGCCAAGGAGCTGGAGACCCACTCAGGCCTGTGGACCGGGCCAAGGCCCAACTGAGGTTCGGATGTGCAGCCCAATTGAGTTAAGCTGCAGGGGAAATGCCACTGCCTGATTATGTAAAAGCCCTCTGCATGTGAAGCAGAAAATCCAAGTTGGAAAGGCCCTCGGAGGCCATCTGGTCCAGCTTCTCCATCTCCTGGGGATAAACTATGGCCCAGACCGAGGGAGCAGCTTGCCCAAGGTTACCTTGCTAGCGAGTGGGCAGTCGATTGGGTAACTAGAATAGGTGCCTGGTTCCCTGTGCCGACCACCACCTGGCACCCTCAAACCCTCCCTAGACAGATCAAGAGCACTTTGGGGTTGGCAAGGTTCTTAGCCTGAGAACGTGAGCACCAGAAACCAACCAGCTCACACCTCTACTGGGCACTCCTTAGTCCGGAGCTGCCAGGGGCAGGGGATGCCAGATCAGCGCACTCTTTTACAAGCAGCATGCAGAGTTAGGATGGACTTGGCTGAAAGCTACCAGGACCCAAGAGCCTCCATGATGTTCCCCGATGATAAAGGTGTGGTCAGGTCGGTTTCCAAGTCACCTCTCCATCAGCCCTGCTAGCAAAAACACCTCCTGACAGGTAAAAGTTGGTGGTAAAAAGGCAAACAGGTTGTGTCCAGTGGATGCATGGAGGGAGGGAAGCACCCTTTGACTCCAGGGGCAGCCTGCCCAAGCCTGGCTGTCAGAGGCCAGAGGAAGAAAGCCCCATGGGGGTCACTTTCTGAGGGGTTTGGGTGGAAGTGGCCAGCTGTCCTCACCTACCTACCCTGGAAGTCCCTTGGCTTCTAAACTTAGAATGAGGGGTAGAGTCCTGAGCTGAAAGCTGTACAGGCTCTGGCCAAGGCTGGCCCAGCCCCTCAGGCTAAATTCTCCGCCCCAAGCCCCCCCCACCGCATGCGCACTGCCTGCTCAGGCTGCGTGTGAGGAGGGGAGGAGAGCAATTGCTGGTGAGAGATAAAGGTCCAACACCATCTCCGTTTCCATCCTGACATTGCAGCGGCTGTCTGCAACACGAGAGAGGGGCACGGTTGGGAATCAATAGCTGATATTCCTGCCACGGTGTGCTGGCCTGCTCCGGAAACAGGTGGCCACAGCCTCCTTCCCGGAAGGTAGCCTTTCCCCGGCGAAGTGACCCCACCAGAGTGGTGCGATGCCATGGCCAGGGTCAGGGAGAGTACCTGGCTTCTCCATCTGACTGCGGGAGGAATGGTTCCCAGAGAAAGTGGCCCAGAGTCCAAGGCACAGAAACCCCTGTGGACAGCCCTCGCTGGCTCTCGGTGGCCTCTCTGGCGGGAAACAGCTGCCCTTAGCCTGGAGGGGCCCAGCAATACCTTGGTTTGGAGGTGGCTGGTGGTGACTAAATAAGGGCAAAAATCCGTGTGGGCTTGGTGACCACACGCCCTGGAACGTCACTGGATAGGCCGCGAAGTATGTGTGGAATTAGGCCTGCACCACAGACAATTAGACGAGCAGGAAGTCAGAAACCTGCCACGGAGTAGGCTGACCTGGACTCAGAACCACCCAAAAGCCCACGGCCCACTTCACACAGCCGCCACCCGATGCCATGGAGCCGCAGCTCAACACAGACGCCGGCAGGGTGGTCCAGGGGCACTCTCAAGGGCGTCCACTGGAAGATGGCACCCTGTGTGGCCTGGGTACTACTCGCAGACAGCACCCCTGGGGGTGTCCCCCTGGAGGAAAGGCACCGGCCTGCCCATTTCTCGGCTTTCTGGGCACGTGGGTGTCCATGGATTTAAAGGTCTGACTCTCCCCAAAGTCTGGTCCCTCCTCCTGTGGCCTTATCCCGAGCCCAGAACAGACACTCCTGGTTTGGTCCGACCTGGAGGCTCAGCAGCACGCTGCACACAGGTGGCCATCACAGCCAAGCCTGCACTGGCACCGCTCACCATTCCCCGCTGTCGTTCTGCTCGGTGGCCTGCTGCCTCCATTTGGGGGGGGGTGGGTACCCTCACTTCACTCTCGGCTAGGCCACAGCATGTCCTAACCCTTGCCTGGGAATTAACATCAAACAAAACGCTCCCAGCCAGTGAAACGCCCCTTAACCCCTCTTCAAAGGTGCTCGCCACATTGTTGCTCTCCTACTTCCCAGACCAGGGAGCACCCGGATCTCCCAGGCACCTGGTGCCCACTCTGACTCACACTGACCACAAGGCATCTTGGACCGGGCCCAGCCGCCCCAGCTCAGCGCACGCACACGCACGCACACGCCAGCAGGCGCCCTGTCGCCCTCCCTTCTTGTCACCTGGGAGTGCCCACCTCTCCCTCAGGGTGGAAGTGTGGGTGGGCGCTCACACGGGCTGGGGAGGGAGAGGCGCGTTCACACAGGGCCCCGCTCGCTCCTTGGTGATGAGTCTCACAGCCCTGCTTTTCCAGGCTCTGGCTTGGCTGCCATCTGATGAGCTCCCAGGAGGGGAAGGAAGGTAGAGACAAGGAGGGGTGGGGAGGCGGCGGAGTGCACCCCACCCTTCACAGCCTCCCGAAGGCCAGGCCGGCACACGGCAGCCCGCCTGGGACTCACTGCAGCATGTGGCGGGCAGGGAGTGGGTGCCTGTGGGACAACGGCCTGATCGCACTGGGAAGAATCGAGCGGCTCACCAGAGGCAGAGGGCTCCCAGACCTGCCAGGCCGTTTTCCTGGACGACGCCAGTTTCAGGCCTGCAGTTTGGACAGGCAGAATAAACAAGGACAGCAGTGGCAACGAGACAAAGGGCCGTTTACTCGTCAGAAGAAGAGAGCCTTTTGTGATGAGAACGCCGCCACATCACAGGCTTGGAGGCGGCAGCGCCCGCGCCTTCCGACCAGGAGCGGGTGTGGAGAAAACAGACTCCACCAGACGGGACACCACGCGGGGGGGGGGGGGGGGGGGGGGGGGGGGGGCTGGCTTTGCCACCTTGTCTTTCAGGGAAAGGGCGGAGGAGGGCAGGAAGGCAACTGTATTTAGACCACGGCAAACTGCGCCCACATCTCCCTCCCACGGGCCCAAGGAAGGGACGCAGGACCGGCCGGCCGGCACGTACCTGAAAGAAACCGGGCGGGATGGGGCCTCCTGGCATCCCATCATTGGGGGGAATGTTGCCAAGCACGGGGCTCGGAGCGGCTGCTGCGCTCTGCGGAGACAAGAACGTGGTGGGTTAGAGGCCGAGAGCACACCAGAGACTGTGGGTCCCGACCCCCCACCCTGCTCTCGGGTCGTCACCAAGAACAGAGAGCACTGAAGTCCCTTAAAAACCCAGACCTGGATGCCACCCCCAGGTGTGCCTCTCACTGGACACAGCATAGACTGAGCTCTCATTTCCTTGTCCCTCTCTACCATGGGGGTGGGGGTGAAGTACGGAAAGGACCCTGCACAATTAAAGAGATGGCGAAAGGCCAGCAACATCAGGGCCGCAGGGAGACGGGCAGATCTCTGGAGGGCACTGTCGGGGTGGACACATGGCATGGTGCCCCTGTCCAGACCCACAGCCGTCCAACACGAAGAGTAACACCAGCGCACAGACCCATGCTGGCTAGTGATCAACAATACCAGGAGAGAGGCGCGTGGAGCAGTCGCGAGTGCCAACTAAAAGGATGGCTGTGGGTTCGGCTCTATCTGGAGGCACCCCGAAAGAAAGGCCCGCCCAGCCACTTCCCAGAAAGCAGCCTCGGAGAAGTCCAGGGGCAGTTCTGCTCTGATGCACGGGGGGCCCCCGGGAGTTGGGACCTGCAACGGGACTGACAGCGTATACCGACTGTCAGGGTGCCTGCGTCCTGCCCCCTACTCTATTCAGACGTTAAATCCCTGGCCCTCTAGGAGGTCAGCATGTGCGTGGAGAGCAAACCCAACACACAGAGGACAAACCGTGACCACCATGCCAGTTCCAGCTCTGGAGACCTTGTGTGCGTCAGAGTAGACCTGGGAGCTCCCTAAGTTTTGCAGTGGCTGACTCTCCCAGCAGTCCCTCACCTGGCCTTTCCTCCGAGGTAGGTGCCTGTGGTGGCCTCCAACCGCCTGTCTTTCCACTTGCGCCACCCAGGGGCTTGTAGACAGGGCAAACTCACTCCCAGCAGGTGGAGGCCAACTGACAGCAACCCTGAAGGCCTGGGCAAAATGCCCCCGTGGGTGTCTGAGGCTGTCAATCTTCATGCCAGCAGAACGCCTCCTTTCTCCCTTGTGGCTGGGGGGTTTGACCTGCTGACCTTGCAGTTAGCAGCCCACCTATGTCACCAGGGCTCCTTCTACACAGCGCAGACAAGCCACGAATGTCGCTGGGGCAATGAATAAGCAGATAGCCCCGTCTGGAGCACCCCTGCCTGAAGGAATGATGGGGAGTAGGGTGTGTGTTTGATGACCCCCTGGGAGTCCTGGGTGCCCCAGAAGAGGAGAGGAGGGGGCAGGCCGGCACAAGGGGGGTCCGCCGGGACTTTCCTTTAGAAGGCAGATATTCCGGCATGTACCTGGTGCATCTGCCTCAAATAAAGCCTCCCTGGGGCGAGCAGTCGCTGCTCTCCAGCCTGGCCTCCTTCCAGACAATCTGTGTCCAACCTGCTCCTGCAGCCGGCGTGTCTGCCTGGCCCCATGCGCACACAGGGAGGGCGGGCGGGCTGAGAAAGGCCCAGGTCTCAGTCTTCCTGGACCGCTCCCGCTCCACGTCCACCCCAACCCCCAGGTCCTCCCTCAGAAACACCACCCCGACCACAGTGCCCTGCCCCACCCCACCACTCAATCCTCCATCATCTCCCAGCACTTGGCATGCTCTCGGGGCAGGAAGGTGCCCCTCCCCTGCCCTCCTGATGTGTTACAGTGTTACAGTCACAGCCTCCCCCTGCCCCCACCCTAAAGAACTCCATTTTTCCTTTTCCTCACCCATAGACCAGGAACCCAAAGCTCTCGCCCCCACCTTCAACAGGGCTGGAGTCGGGGCACACTTCTGGGACTCAGGGCTGCAGCAAGCATCAGGGAGTGGTGTGATTGTGGGCAGGACACTTGGTCTCCCAGAGTGAGTGTCCTTTAGGAACCAGGGGCAGCTGTGGCCCCGCCGCCTGGGCCAGGTATGGAGGGTGGAGGCCTAGAACGGGCCGTGTGTGAACCAGGGAGCGCTGTGAGTCTGGAGACAAGGAGGACTGGATCTGGGGCACTCACCCCGGAACAAGCCACAGCCGCGGTCTTCCTGGAGACCCCAGGCAGGTGTGCACAGCAAGCTGGGTGCCACAGCTCACTGGGAAGTAGGTCACTAGCCTCTCTTGGGTGAGTTCAAACCCCCAACCTTTCGGTTAGGAGTTAAGTGCCCGACCCTTTTTGCCTGGGAGGAATAAAGCCCAGGTAAAGGCAAGAGAGTGGAGGGTGGAGTCACCACTACATTACTTTGGAAAATGATTCTGCCTATAGAAAGGGCTCTCTGTAATTACAGCAATTCTGCCAGCCATCCATCTAAACACACCTAATGGGTTTACTAGGGCCAAGCATCCCAAACTTCACATAATGGGGTCCCCCCAACCCCGGCAGAAAGCTGGGAGGGCCCAGGTTTGAGGCCACAGCCCGACTCAGGAAGCCACTCCTGCCTGGCCAAGGCGAAGCCCCCACCCCTCACCCAGCTTCCCCCAACTTTATCTAGGATCAGGACTGCCTACGGGAATCTGCCAGGTTATCCATTAGCTGCATGGTTGTTTGTTTGCGGTTGGTGGTACAGTGGAAATGCAAACTTTTTGTAATTTACAGCTAACAATTATTCCTTGGCAGCCATAGCAGAAAACTTAAGGGAAGCAAAAAGCAAACAAACAAAAAACAGGGCGAGGTAAACAGCCACCTATACTTTCTTGTAATTCTCTGAGAGTAGATTCCATTAGCTCTCTGACCCTCAGGAACGTCCATCGAGTAAGTGTGGACTTGACTCCTCCCTCATTGCTGCCAGTCAGTTCAAATCTACGGGACGGGGCAGAACTGCCCCTGTGGGTTTCTGAGGCTGTACATCTATATGGGAGCAGAAAGCCTCAACCTTCTCCCTCGGAGCAGCTGGTGGGTTTGAACTGCTGACCTCGTGGTAAGCTGCCCAACATATGACCACTGAGCCACCAGGGCGCCTCACTCTGCAACACGGTCCCCCGACCAAATTCAAATATCAGTTTAATCAAAGACAAAATTGTTATAAAACTTGGGTATGATGTAAATTCTGCTCTACATTTCGGACAAAAGGAACCCCACCCCCCACCCCCACCCTACTCCCCGGCAGTGCTTAGGTACTTGGCTAAGCAAAATGTTAGCAGTTTGAACTGACCCATCCCCTCCAAGGTGGAGAAGACCAGCATGCAGTCTGCCCCCTATAGATTCAAACCCCCCATAAGAGTTGATCCTGACTCAAAGCAACCCTGTATTGGGCTTCTGAGGCTGTAGATCTGTGAAAGCCTCTTCCTTCTCCCACAGAGATGTTAGTGGGTTTGAACCAGCAACCTTGAGGTTGGCGGTCCCAGTGCTTACCCAACAGTGCCACCAGAGCATGGTACAGCCTAGGAAACATGACAGAGCTCTACTGTCACATGGGGTATGAGTCATACCCAACACAATAACTACAGGTTTCTAACACTCTAAGGGCCAGATCTTTCAGCGTATGTGCATTTCATTATCACCTTCATTTAAAAAAGGTATTTTCTATCCTTCCCTCTACCTTTCAGATCATTTAAACGTTCTTAGATACACATTTGAAGGAAAAGTGACATCTTCCCACCCAAGTTGGATGCGTCCTTTCAGGACACGGTCTCTTTCCCCAGTAACTCACACAGCTGTCCAGTCCCCAGTCCATCTGGTGAGTTGACAGTGGTTTGAAGACGGCGGGAGCAGGCAAGGACTTTGAGTTTTATGTGTAGAATGCAGTGACACTGATTACAACGTTCGTACTGTAGAACCATGATTGCTATCCTTTACCAAATTATCCCCCACCAGTAACACATACTCAGTACCCCCTAAAATGCTTTCACAGGAAAGAAAAACCTAGAATACTTCTGCAACGCGATTTCTAAAATTAGCATTTCTGGTTTGGTATAAAACATCCATTCTTTTAAAAAACCAACAAATAAAGTAGAGAGAAAATTAGTCATTGCATTTTGCTAAATGATGTCACGAGCCTCTTTGTTCCCTCATTAAATGGGCAGAGCAAACGTGCTTTTTTGTTACTATATCTAAAATCGCACAGACGTATTGTTAATTAACCTAAATTCCGAGTGCTGGCACCTCCCGAGTGTCAGGGACCCCTCGTGCTCCTCAGGGCTCTCAATGGCCGCTCTTAGGGCCAGAGCTGCCAGACCGTCCATCAGAGGCGCCCCTGGTGGACTTGAACCACCAACCTTCTGCTCAGCAGTCAAGCGCATTCACCTTCTGCACCACCCAGAGACTCCAACCACCTAGGAACAGGCACTAAGAAGTGGGTAGCTGCAGCGTGCTATCTTCTTTGACATTTCACGTGCCTCTGGGGTCAATTCCCTTTTAAAGTTGTTTAATGGCTATCTGTAGGTCTACTTGTATGACATGCACAGCTTCTGCTACTTGAGAATTCTACTTTCATCCCTAAGCTGTTCCCATGTAAAGGTGTAATATATGAATATGTTGTTATATATAGTACGTATCTTCATGCTACATTCATAACCAGAACAGCTTAGGGGCAAAAGTAAAATCTTCAAATAGCAAAAACAAAACCAAAAAACCCCACATCCACTGCCATTGAGCCAATGCTGACTCACAGCGACCCCCACACCCCCCACGAGTTTCCCAGACTGCAACTGTTCAGGGGAGTAGGAAGCCCAGCCTTCTACCCGAGGAGCTGCTGGTGGTTTCGAACTGCCAACTGTGTGAATCACAGCCCAGCCCGATGTGTAACCACTACTCCACCAGGGCTCCTCACATAGCAGGAGATATTACATATCTATAAAAGAATAGGCTGTGTTTACGAACCAGGAGAGCACTGTATATCTGGAGATAAGGACACGGACACACACACACACACACACACACACACACACACAAATAAATAAATGAAAACTTTAAGCCATAGCATTGCTACATGACCTTGAATCTCCCTTCAGGACCTTACGTTCCTGTGAAATGAGGAGACAATGGTTCTTGGAATGTGGGTGGGTGGGTGGCCCATGGTTCTAATAACCAAAACCCAACTCACGCTGTTGAATGGATTCGACTCAAGGTGACCCCTCAGGTCTGAGCAAGACTGCCCCAGAGGGTTTCCAAGGCCCACGTCTTTAAGGGAGCTGCATCTGTCTTCCACAAAAGGGGTGGTCAGCAGCCGACGCCCCGACCTGCACCACCAGGTCACCGAGCTAGCGGTGAGGATGGTGCAGGAAGCTGAGGAGACGGCAGAGCGCGCAGTGCTGAACCCCAGGTGCTGACTGACTGGGGCAGTCCCTGCTGTGGCCCTTGGATTACACGAATGAAACATGGGCTCATGGGGGAGAACGTTGGAAAGGGCAGCACGAAGGGGAGACTGAGAGACCACCACAGGCGTCACAATGCAGAAAACCCAACTGAACAGGTCCCCTCCC